CATCGATTTATATAATAGAAATATTTTTAAAAATTTCCCAAATTTTTAAACTTTTTCCTTATCTTATTGATTTGTATAAACTATTTGAGTACCAACCAGTACCAGCACTATTTATTCTACTATTCCAGTACGACTTATTTTGCAAGTTAATTAATCAAAGAAATAGTTTTTTACGCCATTGAAATCCTCGTTGTTCAATTAATTATAAATTTAGACTGAATTTATACAGTGTCGATTCATTTAGTAGAAGATCTGATTTTTGCTTCCAAAATTATATTTTGTTTAATTAAATTATATTTTAATTTATTAAAATTGTTTAAACGTCTTATCAGAGATAATGGAATGAAGTTACGTCGTAAGTTGATTTGTTAAGATCAGTGTGGCATAATTTTTTCATTTGATATTATTAACTATTAGTACAAGTTGCCTAACGATGTTATTTTTACTAACTGTGGTAGCAGTTTAAAAAAAAATTTAAAAAAATGCCAGCAGAAGTGGCAACCTCAGTTAATTAATAGTATTAGTAGTATTTTTTATTTCCTATGTTTTATTTTCTTTCTTAATCAAGTTGAACACCAAGTTTCGAGGGAATCTCCGTGATTTTTGCCAATTTGACATAACTGAACATTTCACAAAATTTGCGTAATTCGCATGCGATATTTTAATTAAAATAAATATGTGAATAATTTAGAATATTATTCATAAAATTATGAAATATTTATATTAATGAATAAATTAGTAGTTGTTAATAAAAATGCATTTATTATTATTATTAAATTTTAGTTTAGTTTTGTTAAAAAAATGAGTACCATTGTTGCACCACACGTACCATATATGAAGTGTACTAGATGAAATTTTTTGGATATCGGTGAGACAAAGAGATGAGGTTAGAAAGTCTATTTGTTATTCACGTATTTTTAGAATTCATCGTCGCGCTAATTCTCGCGAAACTCGAAACTCAACCGTATTATTTCTAGTTCAGTGTTCATGCTGTATCATCCATCTTATAGCGTTTACTTCATTGTATATTATATAAGAGTGGCAGACTTTACGTTTACGTTCTTTTTGAAAACGATTCACATTGTCTTGACGAGTTATAAATCACTTTTTTTTGGTACCATTTCGCTAATTTCCGTAATAAATTTAGTTTTATTAAACTATAAATTATTGATAAATGAAAAAAAATTTTCTTAAAATGATTATGATTTCAGGTTGTTCAGTCAGCAAATGAATTTAAAGACATATCACCACAGGAGAAATTTGTTACTAAATCCGATCTTATCACTTTTCCATCAGCAGATCAGTTACAAACGGATCAGTCGAATTCGCCACGAGCTAAAGAAATTGATTATGAATTCACAAATCTTGTGTCGAAAAGTCATGATGATGAGCATGACGATTCATTTGATAATTTGTAAGTTTTTTAATGTTTTAAGAGATAATCGAATATATAAAAAATTAATCGAAATAAATTAAGATCATTTGGTAACATTGCTCGGCCACCAACACCCCCAAAGCAACTTGATGATGAAGAGATGAAACCTTCGATCATTGAATTCGGTCCTTCAACGCATAAACGTTCTTTTTTATAGCATTTTTTAGTTGAAAAAATATTTTGATCTTTTTCAATTATCAATTAATATTCAGTTTGCCATTGAGGCAGGATAGCAGAGTGTTTAGTGGTTCAGATTATCGTGTTTAGAATGGTTCGGCTTTTGCCTTTGACAGGAGTAAGCCTGTCATTAAAAATCAGGGTGGTGCTGGCGACCCACCTGTACTTCTGTCGCTAAGTGATTCCCTGGAAAAAATTTCTCACTGTATTAACAGCCCGTGGAGCCATCCCAACCAGAAATGGTGAGCGCTATATCCACTTAATTTAATTTGAGAAATTCTTCTAGAAAGCCGAAGTTGAATTGTGATTGATTATGATTTATAGCATCGACGAGCGAAAATCTTCGTTCAATATTGAAACAGCCAGGTCAAGCAAAAATCAGTTGGAAACCAATAGATCCTCGAGGTATTTCTTATATTTCTTATGCAGTTTTCAAATTAATCGGCTAGTTTAATCATTTTTCTTTCATCAGAAAATTCTCCAATTTTTCATGCTATTTTAATTTATTAACTGCTGGTAAATAGACCTGTCTTAAACTAGCCGATATTACTCTCGCCAGTCCTCCATTATCTTAACTATTTCTGCACTGCTTGACTCCCAAGACCGATATTATACCGATATTACTCTCGCCAGTCCTCCATTATCTTGAGATCCTCCTCATTCCCTTTATATTTTCTTATTACTCCTCCCCACTCCCTCCTCCTGATTTTGTATATTTACTCAAAAATGTTGGCAAGATTATGTTCCATGTAGTTAAAACAATGTTTATGCAAAAAAAAAAATGAAATGAAATTACCGATAATTAGAAGACAGTCGATTGATAAAGAATGGTGAGAGATTAGTCTAAATCATTGCAAAAAATAACATAATGATATTTTTAGAACTTCTTAAAACTATTCTCAGAGAGCATAGTGTTGAATGAATACTTTATTTCATCGATCATTGATGGTGCGAATGAAAAATATTCTATGAGTGCTGATAAATTTTAAACGATAGATAGATAGGGTTTAAAGCAGTTCCACTTCCCATTGATTCCACTTTTACCAGATTTGTTTTGTCAAATTTTATAAGATTTCTGTTAATTTTTCGTTTCTTTATTTCTTCTTTAGATTTTCAGTTAATTTAAAGTTTTATTGAATTTAGAACAAAAAACACAGTGCATAGATAATCGAAGTGGTGCTTTGAGTACCAAATTTTAAATTTTTGATAAGAAAAAGTCTCAAATCTATTTCTAGATGTACTGAGTTAAATCCGCGATGTTCTTAATTGTTACGATATCATATACGACGATATCTTATCAGACCTTATCAGATTTCTGTCAGTTTATTATATTTCTGTAATTTTTCAATTAACGGAAAAATTTACCGGAAAATCCTCATCTATATCAGAACATTACAATATTTTTTGATAAAGAAAAAGCCGAACAATACTGATGAACATCTAACTGACCGCAGGTCAACTGCTATTCATTATCCAATCGACAGATAAGCGTGCGCTCTTCTTATCGATTCCCATATTTCTTACTAAATGTAGAGTTGTTGCGTGCGCCAATTTTTATTGGAATTTTCCATTTCTTAAAATTTGAAGGAAAAATTTTTTAACATTTAACACTCATTTAAATGAGTATTCCTTTAAATGTTTTCTACAATTAGCAGTGATTTTTGGCGGAAAATTAGTTTTAATTTAGCAATTTATCAGGCAATCTATTTTTTGCATATAATATCATTCGCTATTTTTTTTTCTGACTGGCTCTATTAGGCTTAGCAGCGAAGTTTTCATTTTCATCATCTTTGAGAAATATTTTTTCATTAAGGGATTTTATATTTCATTTATTCTTTATAGAAAGCTGGTATTCATTTGAGCATTGAGGATTGGTGACACTTGGGTGTTGGTGATATTTCAAAAAATTTCTTTATAAATCTTACAAATAAATTATTTCCTTTTTTCCTTTTTTACTTTTTTTTTCCTTTAGTATTGTTAATTATTGTTAAAGTAAATTATTTCCTTTATTATTGTTTCCGTTATAAGATTTTGGACTGATCGAATCTCTTTAAATTTTTTGGATTAATAATTTTTAAAATATCGTTCTTTATTTCCTTAAAACAGCAGCTTGAGACAGAATAACGAGAATTCAGTTAAATTAAGTTAAATCGAGCGTTTTTGCGGGGATGAAATTTTTATTTATGTTTCCTTTAAACCGAATGTTTTTAATATAGGGTGGTGGAGTATGAAAATACATAGGATTAAAATAGAAAGAAAACGATATCAGTAGTATTTCCTAGAAATATATTGTGGTCTATTTGTAGTTGAAATTTCAATTGGAGATTGTTGAAAATAACGATGTGAAATTTTTTTTTCCTTTAAACATTATGGTCCCCGAAGGAGTCCATAAACCTTCATTTTAATAGAATATTCAAATGTCGCTGTTGGTTTATGGAAATTTTTTGAATTATGTAAATAAACGAAGTTAAATCGATGGATTTTTTCCGTTCAAGTTAAGGAAATTGATAATTGAAATTTTTTATTTTGAAGGGAACGGTAAAGTGTTGAAATGACAGCCAATAATTTTTTAATGAATATTTTATTTTCAATCGTGCAAAAATTGTTAAAATATACGCTAAATTTAACATTAATTGTATTTTTTTGCATGACTTTATTTAAAATTGGACAGTTTTATAAAAAAGTATTTTTAGAACGAAATTATGGTATGTTATTTTTAATCGTTAATAAAAAATCTGAAAAAATCTGAAAAATGAAATATGTTGGATCATTTTGCTAGGGATTTTCGCTTGGAGGTAGAATGTGGTACCATTATGTTCAACATTGGGTGAAAATTTCAAAGATAATTTTAAATGAAAAAATTACGATGATAATAATGCGTGGCATTTAATTCTTTAGTATTTGCTTATATTTTTTGTTTGCAAAACACGAAAGACATTATAGGCTACAGGAAAAGGAATTAAGAGCATTTGTTTTTTAAAATAAAAATAATGATAGCAATAATAAAAATAATAAAAAGGAAAGTATACTTTTCAAAATATATTTCTCCTATAGTAGAAAACTCATAAATTTAAGGATTAGGCAAAAAATTTATTATTCATTTCCACTTAAACTTTTAAATTTCTTTTTTAAAGTACTAAATGAAATAAAATTTGGTCATTTTAATAAAGGAAGGAAATAATGTTCAATAAACGAATTCTTAAATTCTTAAATATTTTTTATTTAGCAAACTCAAATTCGAAGAAAACAAGTATTTTAGTTCTCTATAGAAAAAGATTGATTCTGGCCTGGAACTTACGATTAATCTATCCTCTCACCTAAAATTTTTAAAATATTTTTTGAAAATTTTTATATCGAAAAATTATAATCGGATAATTCAGTGTTGGATTTGATCTATTGGAAGAATGTGAAAAATTCGGCTACTGTCTTATCACTTAGTTTGCTAGCACTTATAATTGTTGCAAAATATTCGTTTATTTCGCTGATAAGCCATGTCGCTATTGGAGTACTTATTGCTTTCTTTGCGTTTCGACTATATAAATTCATTGAATGTCAAATACAGAAGAAAGACGACGTTAATCCATTCGAGTAAAACTATTTACTTTATTTATTTCTTATATTTTATCAATAATTAATAATTCGTTTAATTTTTTGAAAAAAATTTATTTTATAAAATTAAATTTCAGAAGTTATTTGAATGAGGAAATTCAGCTTCCTTATGATCGAATCCACCAACAAATTGATACGCTTATTGAACATCTACAAATAATTTTTGTACAACTTCGTCGTCTCTTTTTAATTGAACAAGTATCTGACAGTATAAAGGTTTATTTCTTTTGTATAATTTCTAATTGACCTGAGACAGATGATTGGCATCAGAATTTTATATTAATATAGATTCAGGCTTTTTGTTCATTTGTTTTAAAATGTTTCTGTGTTACTATACTGGATTCCTCTTCTGGCTAATATTCTTTTTCTGACACTGCTAGACTACTGCTAGAATATTGTACTGCTAGAAATGAGATTGTATCGCCAGAAGGTCACTTGTAGAAGTTTCGATGAGTTCCCGGTGGCCGATAGCATCGATTTTATTTTTATTCTTGTCGAGAGAAAGAACAATTAAACATGTCATTATTAGGGATCAGTCTGTCGAAATTTTCACTAAAAAAATCATTTTCAGTTATTATTTTCAGTTTTTTTTGTTATTATGGTCACTGACATACATTGGTGAATGGTTCTCCGCAATCTGTTTTAGCATAATACGTAATTTTTTAAAATTTTAATAAGTAATAATAAAACTGAAAATTACCAGTTGAAAAATGAAAAAAATTTTAGTATTGCTTGGCGTGTTTACCTTACCAAAAGTGTATCAAGTACACCATGAAATAATCGACCATTATTTTGCAGTTATCAAGGCACATGTTGATCACGCTATTGAATTGTATCATTTTTCTTTATTTCTTTTTTTTGTATTTGCATTTATCTATCTCATATCAATCTTATCAGCCTTTTATTAATGAATTTTAGGCTGTGCGAGAAGGTTCCATTCGTGAAGAAATTTACTCACGAAAAAGTGAATTGAAAGGGCGATTTCCAGAAAAATACGCTGCTAATCGTTGTTTTATGTTTGTCATTTCTCTCTTTTGTAGAATCTGCTTTCGCAATATTTTGTTTCGAAATTATTGGATAGTTATTATTATTATTCTAAATTTTAAGGGAAAAAAATTAAAAAAAAGAATGAAATTTTTTTCAATTCAATTTTTTTAAACTTTAACGATGATAATTTTATATAACTATGACAATAATGGTAATTTTTAGTTACGAAAAACAAAATATTTAATTTTGTGTTTCGCTTTTACTGTTAAATAACGAAATTTTTTTTGTCGCTTATTTTAATAAATTTTGCTTTTTATCCTTTTCTCTTTAATATTCATTTTTAAATAATGCAGTTTTAATTATATAATTATAATTAATTAAAAAAAGGAAATAAAGTGAAAAAAAAGAAATTTGAAGAAAAATGATAATAGAAGGAAAAAAATAAAATAGTTTCATGCATAAATTTTATGCCATTTGTTTCTTTTATGTTAAATTCAAATTCGGTTTATGCATGCATCGTGTTGAGTGTTATTAGGATCGTCATCGTGCGAAATTTTCATTAATCGCGATTTAAATCGAATGAATATGTACTAAGAGAATACTAGTAACGAGCCGAATTATCTCAAAAATCATAATATTTACCACATTCAACACTCGCTTTTTCGGTTGGTTTTGTTCTTAATATTTTTTTATGAGACATTTCTTTATCAGTAATTTATCTTAAAGCATCATATGAATGAATGTCAAGTAGATAAAGATAACTTTATAACTTTTATTAATTAATTATTGCTTATGATACATGTATTTCGATTAAATTATAATTGCATATCAAAAATTTAGTAACTATAAGGACCATCCATCCATCCATCCATTGTATTTTCTTTAAAACTGCCATAAATTATTTTCTATAATATTAACAGTTCAATAAGTATAATAAAATAATAAGATGATAATTATTAACAATAATAATGATAAATAAGAGATAAAAGTGATGGTAATGATAATAGTGGAATGATAATAACAATAATAAAAGTGATAATAAGTAATAATAATATGCAACAATGATTCTCCATTAAACATTCTCCTTTTTCTTTGATAGCACAATTATTTGGTAGTAAAAAGAGTAAAGTGACAAGTAAACGACTGTACAGTTCAAAAAAAGATTGGAAGATAAGATCTAAACTGGAAAAATAAATCTGACCATAATTTGAATCTCTCCTCATCTTATTTTAAAGATAACTAAACAGGTTGACAGAGGTAATTAACAAAACCTAAAAAACAAATAGCATGAAAAAAAAAAGAAATTTCGCAAATATTTTCACGCACTCCATAATAATCACTATAGTGAGGTCAACCTGTTGATAAAAATAAAGAGAATATATAAAGAGAGGAGATAATTGATAAAAATAGAATTACTGGAGTTACAGCCATCAGTATCACACGATTGCACACATCCTCTATACTGATAACCATCGTATTTAAAGTGACCACAATGAGAGATACGAACTATTTCTTCAAAAAAAAATTTTTTTATATCTCATATTAAAAAAAAAAAAAATTTGAAATAAAAGGAAACAATTATAAAATATAATAGTAAATAATTATCCGTGAAGCGGAAGAACTCAATGGGATTTATTTCAAAGCAAATGCTACGGTTCTCCTCTCAGAACGAATAAACCTATACTCGAAAAAAATTCGGGTGGAGCTAGCAATCTTATCTTGTCTTATCGTCAAATAACTTTATGACAAAATTCGTCGAGTTCCAATAAGCCAGTACAGCGAGCATAACCAGAAATAGTGAGTGAGTGTTCTTCAAAAAAAAAATTATCACCTGTATCTGCAGTAAGCGTGCCAGAATCTAATGCGCATGTTCTTATAACCAACGTTTGATATGAATTATCAGCTGAAAAAAAAAAAATTTTTTTATCAGTTCATTTAAATATTTTTTTCATTAATCTATTAATATTAAATTTCGAGAGAATAAAATTAATTAATTAATTAATTAATTCTTAATTTGATACTCCAATAGATGGTGTTTTTCGCTCGATTCTATCAAATCTATTTCAAATTAATAAAAATTAATTAACGAAAATGATAAAATGATGAAATGGTTTAGCAAAATAGGTTTTAGTTTATTGCATTTTTTATTCGCAATTTTTTAGTTCATTCCGAACGAAAAATCGTTTATCATATAAAAATTGATTTCACTGATCGACTTATCTTATCTCATAAAACCGACTAAAATTTTGCGAAAATTTTTTCACTAATATTCTAAAATTTATGATATTATATTTATTGTTAGCAATAAACATGATAAATGACAATTTCGCCATTCTTTTCTCTCTTTTAAGTCTTTTTGATGAAAAAAATAAATAAATAAATATGTGGTGATTTGGTAAAAATGGGAAACGAAGACGTCTGAGAAGCCTTTTTTTTTTTTTTTAAACCCATAAGATGACAAATAACAACGAAAAATTCTTCTCAAATCTTAAACGAATCATGGAGAATAATTTTTTTCTGTCAATTTGATAAAAATAAATAAATATTTAAGGGAGTGAAAAGACTTGATTAAGACGATCTTAAGGGACTTTCATCCTTTTAAGGCAAAAATTTTTCCTAAGAGTCCTCCAATTCGGCAAGGATGAATGAATAAATGAATGAAAGAATGAATGAATGCTTCTCCTCATTCTTGCTAAGCGCTTTAGTTCTAATTTCATGGCCATGCATTCCATGCAAAACTTTCATTAGAAGAGAAAATAGTTGATAAATATATTTATTTACTTACTTCGATAGCCGCTAACTTTAATACAATGATCGGCAGGAAATAAACCTTTCCGTTGTTTTTTAAATGCCCAACAAGGATATTGATAATTAGCTAAACCTAAGCCATAACCACCACGTTGAGAACCTTTTTGTTTTAGTGAATTTATTGATGAATTAAACGCATCTTCACAAAGAGGATTAGATCCATTAAATGAAGAGCATACAAAACATCCAATAGCATCCACTCCTTAATTTATACAAAATCATTAGCATTATCATTATCATTATTATTATCATTATTATTATTATTCTTTTACTAGTTTAACACTTAAATCTGTATATATATTTTCAACAAATCTTAATTTTATCTCTATTTTTATCCAAAATATATTTCATAAAACTTTAAAATTTTAAACAAAAAATATTTCAAAATCAAATATTTATTAATATTTTTAAAAAATATTTTAATAGAGGCAGAGCAGAGTGACTACTCTGTCAATTATTATTGAATTCTTATTTCGAAGTGCCAATGCTGGGATTCTACTCATCTTTCAAAAACGATCCAAGCATTTCACCTATATTTCTATTGCCCACTAGCAAAAATTTGTCTGATTCGATAAGACAACGTAGCAAGCCTAACCAGTTATGCGCTGACTACTCAATAATGACTTAAAAGATTTGGAGTTTTGCAAAAGAAAAAAAAAGATCAAACGAAAATAAAAATCAAAGTTAAGAAAAATTTTTTTTTCTTATATTAAAACAATAAATGATAAGATTTTTAATGAAATAAATTTTTAAAAGATAGTGAAAAAAAAACTTTTTTTTTAAAAAAAAGAAACTAAAGAAATAATTTAAATATTTCGGCAGTTTTTCTTCTTTTTAAAAATTATTTTATCAAAGTAAAATTGCTTTTCAAATAAAATTGCTTTTTAAATTATTCATAAATTATTCATAAACGATAAAGAATGTATTGCCATAAAAGTCATCCAAAGGTCACCGCAGGCTATCGAAGGTTATCGAAGAACATTAAGATTATAATTAATTATAATTATTAAATTATTATTATTATTATTATAAATTAAATTAAATAATTATTAAAATATTCAAATAACTAATAACTATTCAAATTGTATTGTATTGTTGTGAGAAAAAAAAGAGTGAATTTTAAGAATTTTTCGTTCACATTCCACTGAGAGAAAAAAAAATCCAGGAATCCGAACAAATATAAAAAGTTCAGAAAGCCCTTTTTAAGTGAATGAATTTTTTTTTTTTTTGAGAAGTTTCATCGAAAATGAAAATTATTTATTGTGACAAAAGCGAAAAATTTTTATTATTTTAATATTTATTATTTTCTTAATATTTAATATTTAAAATAAATTTATTTGAAAATAAAAAATTAGAATTGAAAATAAAAAATGCAACTAACCTTCATTAATCATAATAAATAAAGATAAAATTTCATATAATAATAAAATAATCAAATATATGCTAGTAGCCATAAATTTTATGAATAATAGTAGAATAGCAATATTTCTAGAGAATAATTTTATCTCCTCTAGATAGTGAAATAAAATGAAAAGAGAAAAAACGAGGAATGGATTGAATTAGATTGAATAAAAATAAAAAAATAGAGGGTCGGGGTACTTGAAAATAAATAAGAATTAAATAAATATAGTAGCACCCCTCCCCTATAATTTATAAGAAATGAATAAAATTCGATAAGAATTTTGCAGCATTACCATTAAAAAAATATTTTTTAATAATAAACCTTTAAAATTTTATTTACTTTTTGAATTTTTTAATTTTTTTTTTTAGCGTTTATTTCGTAAAATTTCACAAAATTATTTTATTAAAAAACGTAGAATTTATATATTAAAATGAAAAAATAAAATCAAATCAAATAACAGCTAAAATAGATAAAAAAGAATCAAACAAGTGATATGAATAAAATATAATAAAACAGATAAAAAGAGAAAATTTGAAAAAAAAAAGCTAAAATAAAAAAAAGACGAAATATTTAAAATAAATAGAAAGGCTAAAATAACATCGATAGGCTAGTTGTTTTAAAAGTTTTTACTCTAAAAATGCCTTTTCACTCATAAAAATTATTTCATATTCTCCTCTTGCTTTGTTTATTTATGCTGATTTATATTTTTATGGGCATAAAAATAAGAGAAATTTTCAAAAAATACTTTTTCTTTTTATATTATATTATTACAACTCTATAAAAATGATTATGGTGAGGAGATTCCTCGAAAGGATCCCAGGGGATCCGACGACTTCACAGAATCCACTATAATAACCGCTGCCGATACGTTAACCAATTATAATTGTGATTTGCTTTAAAAAATCAAATTTTATAGAGTTCAAAATTGAATATTCACCGATTTACAATTAACGATCTTAAAAGTTTAATTAATTTATTAATTCTGAGACAATTCGGGCAATATTTTATAATCAATTAGCAAGAAGATAAGTCATAAGGAGAGAATTTTAAATTATTAATGTTATATTATTAATTTTATATTATTAATTATTGATTGAAATGAAGAGAAAATGCGATAATTAGGCTCGAATATGTACCATAGTACATATGCACCTGGAATTAATTTATTTCTGTGCAAAATAACAATCGATAATACTATGGATAAATTAAAAATTTGATTAACAACGATTGGCAGAACGTATGAAAATAAGAAAAATAAAAGAGTTTTTCGCAGAAAGAATAAAAAATAAATATTCGATGGTCTAAGAAGTATAACGCAGCCTAAGGCAATTTATAGAAATTATTGATAGCTTACAAAAAAATACAGAAGTAATATTGAGAAAGAATGATAAAAAGTTTTGAGAATAAATTCTAAAGGAGAATGAGAACGAGTTTATTTATATTGTCGAAAATGCAAGAGCAAAATCGCAGGCGTTAGTCAGTCGAGAATAGATTTTCGAGTTGGAACGTTAAGGGACTAAAAGAAGGCCTAAGAAATACAGAGAGATTTCGAGATGACATATTGACTTCGAATAGCCTCAGTTTTCATAGAACCAATTTTTTTTTTTTCATTCGCAAATGAATAAAAAACAAAAGTGCCGTAGGGAAATCGTTATTATGCAATAATAAATAATAAATAAAACTAAATAATAATAAATAAATAATAAAATAATAATAAATAAAAACTATGAAATATTCAAATAAGATAGGAAAAAAAAAGAGGAGACGATCCTAAGCAACGTTAACCGCTGGATAAAACCACTTGACTCATAAATGAATTTTTTATTTTATGGGATCAAAGAAAGAAAGAATGCCAAAAAAAAAATCATATTTGCGTGCAGAAATGTGCAATAAGTGCACAAAGTGCAAATGTTCAATAAATGCACAAAGTGCAAATAGGCAATAAAGAAAAGACAATAATAAATACTATTTTGCAAATAATGCAAAACTAATGAATTTTTGGATCTAATAAAGCTCTTATCGTTTTCGTCTAAAGAGAGAAAGTAATATGGATTCGTTTTTTTTTTTTCACTAAATAAGAATAAAAAAAAAACTATAATTAAAAATGAAATTCAAGTGAATGAATGCTGGTGGCCCAGTTGTTTCGCTATCCTTAAGTGATTCTCTGGAAAAAGGAAGAAATCAATGAAGTTAAATAAGCTGAATAGAAGAAGAATCGAAAATCTCATTGATATATTAAAAGGAAAAAAAAAGAAAAGAAAAAAAAGGGAGGGGGGAATTTTTATTTGCTTTTTAACAGTTCTCGTATTCTAAACCAATTTAATTTATTTAATTTGCAATTAACCTTAATTTTATTAAAGAAATATTCCACTTCGTTATAATATTTTTATAGCATTCATTCACATATGGCTGATTTGGCTAATTTGGCTAATTTGGCTGATTTGGCTAATTTGGCTAATTTGGCTAATTTGGCAAAATTCATCGACTCAAACCTTACGTGAAATCCTTTCGCTATAGCGTTACAGTTAAAAGCGGAAATATAGAAATAGGTTAGCATCCCAGCTGCACTTCGATTTCACTTTTAGTGACGAGATAAACTCTCGTTTAGAAATAGGAATCGAACCTGTTTACAGTCCAAGTATTATGGAACTTATCATTTAAAAAAATAAAAAAAACGAGAAATTTCAATAATAATAAGCAAAAATAAAAAACTTTATACATATAAATAAATAATCAAAATTGTGTATGCTGACTGATATTGGTAGGGACAATATTTTTTTTTTTTAAGAGTCCTCACCATTACTGATTAAACTCGCTCCATTGGCTTGTCGCAATATGCTAAGGAGTCCCTTGGCGATAGCAATACATGTGAATCGCCAGTATTACCCGGATTTTTGTGCAGGTTTACTCCTGCGAGGAATCGAACCTCAGCATCGGCGCTGCCAATTGAGCAACAACCCACTGAGCCACAATATTACTGAATGCCTAAATTCATCATCTCAAGCAATATGGATTGATCTCCTGCACACGTTAAGAGTAAAGCAATGATTAGAAAATCGGAGTGGTCCTAAGGAGCCATACGTAGCCAAATAAAATTGTTCAGTACGATCTGAAATAATCCGAATAGGTTTTATTATAAGCCAAACCTTTGTTTTCAACATAAAACAAATCAATAGTAAGTGCAAATCTATTGAGGCTATATTGAGTAAGCGTACGCAAACACGTACGCTTGCATCAGCAAATCCAGAGCCAAAGCCAAAGCGCGAACAACTCGAAAATGGAATTTTTTTTGAGCTATTGAACTATTTCGAGAATTTTGGATCAAACGAACGTAAAGTCATTTTTTTTGATTAAGCAATAAGTCATCGGCGAAAAATACGACGAATTTTACGACTAATGCACGCAATTGCATGCAAATGCGCAATAAACGTGCACATTTCTACGTAGCATAGATGGATTGAGTAGTGCGATGGTGTAAAATCTAACGGAAGGTCCAGTTTTTTGCATTATGAACTACTAAATGAATTGACGTGTTATTAAAAGTGGACTCAACGTGAAGCTGAGGATCACAACCTCTAATTTTAATTGGTCCTCTGGTGAAGAGATCCTCAATCGAGCCAATGTTCAAATGTTCAAATGATGAGTGCTACCGGAAGATGAAGAAAATCAGATAATAGTAGTTGTCTTTTGCCTATTAATAAAAATTAATTAAAATATTCGACATTAGCAGTTAATGGATTATCTCATCGTCCTGGAAAACTATCTTCAAATTTTGCTATACCTTTTGATATTTCGAAAATTCAAAATCTATGTTAATCACTCAATATTCTTTCGAAAATGACTCGTTAACCTAACTCATCATTTTCATATCCGCCAAACTCCTCGGTACCCTAATTCCAGTTGTGATCTTTCGATAAAATCAGTTATCAATTATCAGTTAACTGCATTTTGCAATTCCATAGTTTATAAATGCGGCCTAGACGAGGCTTGCCAACGCATTGTGGAAAGAATATGAGGCTTTCAACGGTCAACAACTGAGTCTGGAAGAGGTTAAAATGATACCACTAATAAACAGTGGCACAATTATGATAAGTGGCGATTTCGAAGATATACGGAAATATTTGGAACGAAACACGACAGAGTTTAGAAGACACCAAAGATGAACGAGATTCAAACAAGGTGAACCGAGGAGGTACTGAAGCCGACATAACATGGCGAAGGCGATTTTTTAGAACCATTACTAGAAGGGGATATTATTACATAGTAATATTACTACTAAATTGAAATTTGCCGCAGTAAGGTGTTTGATGAAACATTAGTGAAAATAATCGAGGAATTTTAGTGATAATAATCTAATAGTTCCAAAGAAAGATTTGAAGAAGGCGATATTCGAAAGGTTTGAAGAATTTTATGGGATATAAAAGGATATTAATGGATTAATTTGAAGTGGTACTTTGAGGAGGAAAGTTCTATGCGAGTGGAGTGATAACCAAATTTAAGGGGACCTATTTAATGAAGGACGAGAACTTCGATAAAATTTGACTAATTCTCTCGATGAAGCGAATCAGTTTTTTCTTCCTTTCCTTTTTACAGCATATTATATAGATTCGTTAAAAGATAGGAATTTTTGATTCAAAACAATTCGAAATGATCTTTTTGCAAGAATAAAAATTTTTCAAGTGAAATAAAAGTGCAATACACCTAGTAATCTGCCATAACAATTGGGGGAAGGGGAGAAATAGCGATAGCATTGGTGTATAGAAATTGATGGAAACGTCTATAAAGTTCTAAATCTCCACGATAACCTTTATATGATTCTGATGCATTTCAAACGTTAAATTAAGCTTTATAAAAATAAATAAAGATATTATTAGTGAAATTGATAAATTGATAAAAAATAGAATCAACAAAATAAAATAAAAATAAATAAAAATATCATTAGTAAAATTGATAAACTGATAAAAAAATAATCATATAAAATAATATAAAATAATTATCAAAAAATACTCTATACTCTACTGAATATGCCATCTAAAATAAACAAAAATAAAGGATTTTTATTATAATTTATTTATTAAAATCGACTATTTTAAACTGTGATATGTCATAGAAATTTTCTAAATATTGATTACATTTTATTATAACAACAAAAGCAAGAAATGATAATAAAAACATTTCGCAATTAATATTATCACAAATTTCAGGTTAATTGATAATCTTTATCACAAAAAGATAATAGTCGATAAATTAATAATTTAGAACTGAAAATGAAGCAACAAACCTTTAGGCAAATTAAAATATATTTCATGACACTGATAAAAGAAATCGGATTAAAATACATTTAACTAAACAAATAAAGAATATGAAAAAATACCAAAAGCTATTAAAAATAAAAATTATTTAATAATTTAAGCAATTAATATTATCATTAGTGCAACAAGAACGCAAATTTAAAGTGGAACCACTCGTAAACGGGCAATCAACATAGATTGGCTTAATTTAGAGCATTATTATAAAAAATATGATATGGGAATCTGCAACTTATCAATTATATTTGAGCTTTTATGCAATAATAATAATAATTAATAATTTACAATATTGCGATATTTACATTCATATTTTTAAAAAAAACCATCACGTAAGGCCAGGAACGCTATGTGCTTGAGAGAGAGAAAAAAAAATGGATGGAAAAAAATTAATAAATTATAAAAAAGGAATATGAATAGGATGAACTACATAAATCCATAAAATCCTGAATTTCGATTATAATTAATATTATTTCAAATTCAAATAATTTGATTTTGTAGATAATACTGTTTAGTTTCCTCTTTAAAACTAATTAATGACGATGAAAAAACTAACATCTTTAAGTTCGAATATTTAATAGTACGAATGAAAAAACTATAAGATGACTTTTAAAATTTGTTTGGCAAACAATTTTTTACAAATTCGAATATTTTTTCCTATTTTATAATGAAGTTTTTTGTTTTATTTAAAATTATGTTTTTTTGTTTTAATAAGGAAAACTATGGTTATCGACATGAAAATAAACACGTTTCCAAATTTTTATCATTTTTATCATTTCGGAGTCCACAATCTAATCTTTACTTCTATGTGAAGTCACAAATCTCCGATAGGGGTTCAAGAAAAAAAAGTTGAGAACCACTGCTCTAAAATGTAGCGAATAAATATTTTGTACAAGAGAAAGATTTTCATTCTATTTTGATCGAAATAATCGAAATATAAAATATTGTTAAAATATTTTAACATATTTATTGACCACTTTTTTTAACAGCAAAAATCGAAAGTTCTTGTCTATATTTTGGCTGAAACCATTTAGCCATTTTATCAAATGGCGTCAGAATTTAAAAAATTGTCCAAAACAAATTACATTCTTAATGGAAATCTTGAAGCTGTTCTTTTAAAATTATCAATTATGCAAATAACTGTTATCATTATCAGTTGCCCTTTCAGTGATATCATTAATATACATTATGAAGATATATTACCTGATAGTATCAACTGCTATTATCGTTATACAGCATTAGCTCTTTATATCTACGGAACCACTTGAACCTTCTGAAGCAATATCCAGCGATTTAGAATTCGACTGTGAGCTTTTCTTAAATTAAATATATATGTTGAAGTTCTGAACGATAATAATGACTTGGTTCTTGGTTTAGATAATTAAGGATGGATAAAAGAATAATTTTATAGTATAATTTTGAAAAAACATCTTTCTAATTCAGATGGAATGACTTTTACGCTAATTTTTGTCCTCTCAACTGTTTTGCTCAATTAGTTCAATACGAAATATTTATTTATACGAAAAATTTCCTATTTTTATCTATTTAATTAATTAATTAAATCAATAATATTAAATGATTAGTTCAAGCAAGAATCTCTCAAATATCCCTCCTTATACATGCGAACATTTGACTATCGTTATTGGATTTAATTCAACTTTCATAAGCTACTTTTATACGACTATTTTGACAATTTCATAATTTTAATAAAATTCAATTTTGTTAAATTAATTGTATAAATAAATTAATTTTAGCAATAAAATTTTACAAAAACATGTTGTTGAACCAAATAAATCAAGCTTTCTGCCTAAGCAGATATTTTCACGAATATATTCGAAAACTGAATGAACGCACTGTCGAACTGTCGACATTATGATAATAAAATAAGTGGAAAAATAATTTTACTTACCCTACTAATATATTTAAAATCATTAGGCCTTTCCACCATATATATTAAATCGGTAGGTGAAACCCATGAAAATCCAACTTTAGAGCCAGAATCACGCGCAACATTACTAAAAATAGAGCAAGCTCCAAGTCTTGATGACGTCATACTTGTTTGATTTTCATTTAATGTACTACCAACAAGCCACTCACGTATGGGTTCATGCACGGATGCATCCCATGGTGATAAACTGAAAAAAAAGCAAATTGAGCAATTCTCACAGTTTAATAAAAAATCTTCTTTATCCAGGAAAAGCTAAGCAATAATATCAAAATGGTACTTAATGTAATTGCGATCGGTATTACATGGTGAGTCATATATCGCAGAACGACTTTTTCTAAAAGAAAAATCAAATTACAAATTTTTTTCCTTTGTATAATAAATCATATATTTAATTAAAGAATAAAAAACAATTGAAGATGCAAATAATTTCTAACAAGAGCTAATGAACAATCCTTGATAGGGCGCAATAAGATATGGTGAAATAACAAACAGCTGCAGTCATTTTTTCTTCCTAGTTATAAAAATAATGATAAAAAATGTGACTGAACTGAACATACTTAATCACATCTTTAACGTTGTTCTTGAACGCTTCTTTATCGTTATATAGCATGAAAGCTGCTTCTTTATTTATACAAGAAGATGGTTTAACATCGAAATTGAAAAATGTTCGCTAAAAATTTGAATAGTAATAACGATAATTCTGAAATAATATGATATTATGATATGATATAAATAAAAATAATAATTAGTTCAAGCCGTGAAACAATGAATTTTGTACTGAATTTTTTTAGATAGTGGTGTAAGACAGTGCTTAAATAATCATTTTAATCCAATAGGGAAAAAGTTATCATTACAAAAAAAATTCAATTTACCTGCAATATAAGTAAAAGATGATATATATGATGATTTTCAGGCTTCCACCCATTTGGAAAGAAACGATTCAAATCTAATTCATTGGTATTTGGATCGATATGCGGATGAAATACTTTTTGGTTGAATTTTACAGTCTAAAATTACACCACATTTGAATAAAAGTAAAAAATATTAAAAAAACGACTGGAAAATTTTTAATCAAGAGAAAAAAATCGACAAAATTATTCTCCGCGATCAATTAACCAATTTTCTTCTTTAAATTTAGTGGAAATAAAAATATAAAAATAAAATTTTAATTTTAAATATAAAGTATCATTTTTAATGAATCGGAAAAAAATGAACAATTCAAATTCAATTTAATTTATCCAATGATAACAAATAATTAAATAATATAAAATTTAGAAAGTTAATATAAATTAATAATATAAGTTAATAATATAAATTCAGAAATTTAGAAATTTAGAACTAAAATAATGAACCGGAACAGTAGATGACGGGAAATCTTGAGGAATAATTAAAATGAATCTAAGCACCGCACCAAAATAAACACCACGCCGAATGAATAATAAACCGAACCATTCTAAATAATTTTAAAAAGTTAATTAAATATTTCATTTTTTAATCTTTCATTCCTTTAAGTATTAAAAATATTAAAAAAATGAATAAATATGAAAAATTATTTCAGTTTTAAATTATTAAATCTTTACATACAAATATAACAAAAATTAATATGCATAAAATCTTTTAAAATTTAAATTTTAAAGAAAAAAAACCATGAGGATTTGATGCACTCGGTATAACATATAAACCATCCACTGGTTCACGACATATCATACCACTGAAAATATAATTTTTATAAAAAATTATTTATCGCAACAAAATAAATATAAATAATAAAAAATCAAAATAAAAAATAATTTTTTACTTTTATAAATCACCTATTTGAAAATTTTTTCATTGAGATAATTCCAACCATAAGCACTATATTTAAAACTGATAATTTGTAGATTTTTAAAAATTTCGTTTAATATTTAAATAAAAAATATTAAAAATATTAAAATAATAAAAAAAAAAAGAAAATTTATGAAAAATAAATAAAAGACTAACTATTCGGCCATAATCGTATAATATTTTATAGTTTTAGCGGAGAATTTAAGCGAATTACCAGATTTCAACGAATTATCATTCTCCATATTCTTTTCAGCAACAATATTATGATTATGAGACGATTGATTCGAAGATATATAATCCTATTTATTTATTTATTAAAAAATTAATTTTTTTACATCCTAATGAGCTTAGTCGGGCAAATATAGAAGCTTAGAAATAAATTATCCACCATTATAATTCGCTGAATTTATCAAAAAGGAATTAGAAAATTATCCCAAGGTACATCACAAATTTTTATTCACCACAAATACGCCCTAAAACATTATTAATATTTGATTATAAGAACGAACATAATAACACTTCAGTGAATCGCCAATGAATTTTAAAAAAAATAACTGCTATAAATCTTTAAAAAAATTTGAATATTGCATAAAGTGTGCAGCAAAAAAATGTTTGAAATAAAAATAAAAACAAAAGCAAATGGCTGATAAATCCTATAATATAGGATCGCAAATGATGGAGAAAAGAGTAATTGTAAGAGTAACAACTCTTAGCTAATACGACGAAAGACTAGAAAGCATGGAAAGTCCTGGTTTAAGCATCTAATGGATGGCTGAAACGGCTTGCGCCACTAGAAAAAATGTTTAGAAAGAAAGAAAATGATCCTTGATTAACAAACTTCATCGCCATTCACCGTATCCATAAGATTTTATTTCATTTCAAAACCATTACTGGCTAGGCTGGCACCATTTACAACAAAAGTGGATGCAATAAAATTTTATTTAATGGAGAATATTGGATATGTGAGATCTTGTTATCTTTCACTCCAACAGGCCTTTGCAGATATATAACAAGCTAATAAGAACTGCAAAATTCTGATTTTGATTCCAAACAGACTTTAACAAACAGAAGAGCACTTTCCAACGCGCGCTTGGATTTCATTCTCTACTTGGTATAAGAGTAGGTCGAAAATATTCGAAATTTGGTAGTTCTTCAATTAAAATCTAAATGACAGATATCCAACGAAAAACCTTTAATATGAGGTTATTATAGCACGATATAAATCATTAGAAAGTCATTATTCGAAAGCGTTTCATGCTTAACGAATTGTTTATCTAACGCAGAGAAAAAATTTATTTATTTCTTAGCATTGTTAAAAGATTAATGAGAAGTTAAAAAGCCAAAAAAACTGAACTATTAATGTTCAAAGGACTTCAAGGAACAATAAAGTATATAATTTTTAGCTAATTTACAATTAAAATCCTGAATTATTTAAAATATATATTGGATGGTTGAATGAAATACAATCATTGACTTCCAACAGGTTTTAGATTAGAAAACGGAGGCAATGGCTTGCCGACAATCAAAACGGCGAAATTCCATATGGATATAATAATACAAACAAAACTCATAGCTTTCACAATCAGCGTAAGCCGACGGTCAAAAGGACGCGCATTTTCGCTTGACAAACCAGCATCAAGACCTCTCTGAAATTTGATAACAATTATCTTTCAGTAGATAAAATATTATGCAGTCAAAAATTAAAAATCTTAGTTTTCCTATCAAAAGCACTTTAAAACATCAAATAGTCGGTTGCAAATTTTCTATTAATGATAAAATATTGTATTTTTATTAACCACCTCACAATTTCTCATTTCCATAAGCATTTTCTAAACATTAAATCGGAAATAATTATGTCGGGAAATTTTTTTAATAAGTTCCTTCAAAAAAATATGAAAAAAACAAAAAGTATTATCAACTAACTTGAAATGCTTCAACTTTTTTACGAAGAACTGGATCATATAAACCATACTGACCCATAACCAATTTGCCACATCTTGTTCCAATAGGTAAACGAGGCAGAATTTTCCCACCAGCCTAAAATTATCTTTACTACAACAATTTCTATGAATTTTTTGTAACAGTGCACAAAAAATCCCAACAACTTTGGATCAGTCAACTAAATACTTAAAAGAAAAACGAATAAAACGAATAAAAAAACGAACACCAAGCTGCCATTCACCAGGATTCAATGGATCAAATTCTTCGAGAGATGGTGGCGTCTTTCCGGCATTTGTTGGTATTTGCGAAACACCAGGAACAGAAGCTGATCGAACATTCATATATATAATGGCGGCGGTTCGTGGAACCGGCTTGAAAGGTAGGATCATCCTGAATATTTTATTTATCTCATTTATAAAATTCCTCTCCATATTTTATTCGAGGCTACACACTGCACATTTTAACAGAACTTTATAGGCACCACTTTCAGTTTCACTGATTAATAGGATGATAAGATCCTTTCACCGCAGAGTCATTGGGATTATGGATGAGACCAAAGCAACCAGGGACTGATTATTCAAGTCAAACGCCATTGGCAAAATTCCGTACAGTTCCTATCGCGGCGCTGAAACTGATAATTATTATGAATCAGACTAGGCTATGATTTGAGCCAAGACCTGCATAAAACTCGCAGTAAATAGCATTCACAAGACCCTTTCAACTGCCTTAAACTAAAGGACTCGGGGATATACTTCAGGCTGAACTGTCGAGGTGTCGGAAGAAATGAGATCCTGTGATCTCGGCTGGAAATGATGCTTCGAAGGCAAAACAGCATAGCGAGACAGAACCTAGCCATGAATAAGGAATTGGATGCAAGTAGAAAACTATTTCGCCTTCATTATAAATCATAAATAGGGAAGTGATCAGAGAAATGATCCGGGATAATAATGTGTTGAGGCTATCAAAATCTGCCTTGTACGATAGAGAGGATTTTTTGAGAATCAAACATAACCATGCCATCTGTCCAGGACATAACTGAAACGTTCGCCAAGCCATGTAGGAACTTCTAGCCGACAAAAGAGCAAGGAATAATCTTCGTCATTCACAAGAACAACGCTAATAAAGCTGCGGTAGAAAACGGTCCTCGAATTGAACCAGTGCGCCACTGTGCTGAATAAATATTCACGCTAAGAAAGGTTGTTGGAACATAATTTTAAATATTTGCAGCCTATCACCACTTTTATCAGTTTAACCGCTGCCTTCGACTTAAATCACAGCAGCGCTTTCGACAATGATGGAATGCGATGGTATTCCAGAGAAGATCATTCGACTCATAAAAGCATTTTATCAGCGAACATTGGCACAAGTCTGCGTGGAATACGCTGATGCAGTCATCTGCTGCAAAAAAAGATCAAACCTACCGTCTTATTTACCAATTTATCATTTTACCAATCATCTCAAGAGCTTGATTTTACATATTTTGGATCCAATCTGGTACCAAACTACCAAAGGCGAAACTGCATATTGGATAACCGCATCTAGAAATGCTTTATTTTGGCTTGTGAAGCCTCTATTTTACATCTTGCAGCCAATGAAGCCAACCTAATCAGGAATGGTGAGAGCTATTAGAAGACTAGAGCAATCATGTGGATTCCACTAATATTGGACAGACAACTGTGAAAGAGTGCGAACCCACTCTGCTTTCCCATAATCACATTCGTATAAATAAAATCTCGTGCCAGACCCCCTCACACTTGCTTATTTTATTGATTCCCATAACCCTTTAGCATTCCTCCCCATACCCTCTCAACACTTCAAATTTTTGTCACCAAAAAAATAAACGCCACCAATCAACACCACGTTCATATAAAAAACCACGTTCATGAACGAAAATCATTTACGGTCGCGGTCGCTTTGAATTATGGCCCCTGCACGATGGGCTTTGCAACAGTCAATGCGTGCTTATTTGTGGTACTGAGATTTCGCATTCGTTTGAAGTTGGCAGTTCAGCAGCATGTATATGTAAAAAATGAAGGACGGTAACCTTTTTTTTCCAGGAGCACTCACTATTTTTGATTAGGCTTGTTACGCTCGATCGTTGATGATTTGCTACAGCCGATAGTAGAACCACAACATAGGTGCTTTGAAGTGGAACCAACTGAGCCGTTCTATCCTTAAAATTAAAGGATGTCTTCTTCTTCTAATAGCTCTCACTATTACTGGTTAGGTTATCTCCAATGGCTACAAGGGAAAGATACTTCCAAACGGCGCGGTCTGATGTCATCGTCGACAGTAATAGAAGCCATTCCTTTTTCCATCATCTAAGTCCATATATTGCTGGTCCCCCTATACGGTCAAAAATCTTTCCTGACCATATCAGCCCAGGTCTTGACTGGTCCTCCTCGCCATCCATCACACAGTTTAGCAAATAACGAAATATGCGTCAGCTCCAGCGGTGGACGACGGAGAACGTGCCCTAACCAGTGAAGGCGACGCTCTGTGATAAATTTTAAAGGATGTAAAAAATTAAAAAGAACAAAATTTTTTTTTATGGACTTAGCAAGACATTTTTTCTTTTACCAATATTTTATTAAGTTTTCAGCTTAGAATAAAATATACAAGTTTCGATTTCTACACCTCGAGGAGATTAGTCATAGCAAAAGTGATATTCGGTTGGTGCTAAAAAATGAGCAGTGGTACGTATTTGTCTCCGAAGAAAAAAGTAGACGTGCATGGAGATATAAAAATATATTGAATTGCATACACGACTTCGGTTTAGATGACTCTATAGCAACGATTTATTGCTAGTTGAATTATAATAATTTATGCAACTTTTAATTATACTTAGCTATAGTTAATAATGGGTTGCCATTCGATTGGCTAGGCTTAGGCTTAGGTGATTGCAAAGATAAGACGTTTCCAAGTTTCTAAGTTGCTCGACCTGATGTCATCACTAATTGTAATAGAAGCCATTCCTTTTCCCATCGTGCTAAGTCCAAATATCTCTTTTATGGCTATATTAGTCCAGGACTTGGTTGCAACTCATCTCGCTTTTGACGCCATGAAAAGATTATTTCTTAAAAGGATATTTCTAGTTCCACAATTTGAATTAACTCGAGTATTCCTCTCTACATGGCTCAAAGGAGTATTAAGGAATATCACGACGAGGTTCGGCCGGGTATAAAGGGATTAGAGATTTGAAGAAAAGAAATGAGGGAAGGAAGAGTATGACGGGATTCAAGAACTGCATTGCTTCATTCCCCTTGTTTTATGGTACTAATTTTATGGCAATGGTTATTTCCTCGTGGGTCTTCTTTCTTTTTATTTTGTTATATTTATTGTGCAACGATTGGATAATGGGGAAATTTTTAACGGAATACCATAGTGCAATTTTATATTTCATGAATGAAACAGACTAAATATCATCGATTATTATTAGGATTGTCTAAGAATGGAAATAAATTTTTCACATTTTTTTGGTTATGTAGTACTTTAATTGGAAATATATGAATTATATCATATATTTCGGCAACAAACCCGTCCAGAAATCCAGGTGATACTGGTATCTCATTTGTATTTCTATCGCAAAAGGACTCCTCGGCATATTTAGTGTGATAAGCCAGCGGAGCGACTCTAACTTGTAATGATGAGTGCTCCAAACAAATATCTTTCAAACTATTAAATCTTAAAAGTTTTTTTTCTCGTAAATTTTCGCAAATTTATATTTTTTTTTTTTTTTTCAGAAACAAAAATTTTCAGAAAATAATGTCAGATATTTGGTTTCTTGCAAGAAAGCGATTAGAAGAGAACAAATTTGTGAAAAGTAAAGTCGAATTGGGAACTCAATTAATTGATAATGGTTTTTGTTTATCTATTATTTTTTGATACTTCTTCTTCTTCTAACAGTTCTCACCATTACTGGTTAGGTTAGTTTCAACTGCTACAAGAGTAAGACGCTTCCAAGCTGTGCCATCGTCAACAGTGATAGAAGCCATTCCTTTTTCCACTAAGTCCATTTATTGCTGGTCCATCTGAACGTTCAAAATCTTTCCTGTCCGTATCACTACTATTTGATTATTTATCAATGTTTGGAAATTTTTTGAAAAAAAACGAATAAATTTATTCTGAAACCAATTTTTAATCTTATCTTATTTTCCAGCTTGCACAGTTGTTGGTTCAACTTCTGGTTCTCTAACCATTAGAATATGATATTTCTAACCCAATCCGATAGCATGAAATAGTTCTTTTTTCATTTCTTTTTTCCACCGTTTAAGCGGTTGAATATTTTACTAGACCGCCTGTACATTCGGAATCTTTCTAGGTCTTATGAGCTGATTTGGTCTTAATTAGTCCCCTTTGGTTTTAACACCGTTTATCACAAAGAGCCAAATAGTGGGATTTCTGTGATGGACGATGAAGAACTTGACCCAACCACCCTACGATTAATGACAATAATGTTCGAGTAGACAGTATAAAATTGTAAGCACTCACTTCCCCAGCTGATAATACTGTCCTATAGGCTTTTTGCCATCCATCTCTATATTATCTATATTTTTAGAAATATTTAGAAAATGATTCATATAAAGGTCATTTAAAATTTCAACAATATAAATATTTTTAAAAAATCAATTTAGAAATGAAAAAAATAAATCGACGAGAATCGCATATCGTCTTTTGTGGAGCAAAGAATTCAGTTGGTTTTTTTTTCGTCCTAACCTTATTGAAAGTACCAGTTGTCTTTAGTTATCCTATAAATACTAATATTGCGAGTCCAAATTATTCCAAGTCTTATGGTTCCAGAAGGCTTATGAAATATTTTTCAGGGTAAAAGTTCAATAATTCTTCGCTTTCTCGATCGTAATGACATACCAAAACCAACAATCGCTTTAGAATATACTTATGGACGTCGTACAACAGCAACAGTTTGTTCTTCCGAAAAACAATTTCATGAGATGGAAAGGAAAGAGCATATATTTATGCATGTGATTATTTAAATGAAGAAATTTAGGTAAAAGATATCGGAAATATTTGGGAAATCGGCGGTGGTTCTTCACTTATAAATCTTATCGAAATACCTATAACTTCGAGTACTATTGGGTAATTTCTTTTTAAAATATTTTTATTCCAAAAAAAAAGTATGAAATATAAAAGCGATTTTTTGTATAGCAAATTCAAATTGCATAATAATAATTTAAAATGATACTAAAATTTATAAAAACTTTTTTTGCACCTTATTTTTTATGCAAAATTTTCTAAAATTTTCCATATTTCTGATGGAAGAATCGAAATGAAACAATAGGAACGAGAAATAATATTATATTATATTAGATTATGAGAAAATAATTTTAATAATAGGAAATTTTCAGCGTTACATCGATTGTAATAATAATCGACTTAACGAAGCCTGAGGATATATGGAAAATATATAAAAATATATTGTTGTATATTAAGGATTATGTGCATAGTTTACTTGAAACTATTAAAAAAGATCTTCCAGAAAAATATAATCAATTAATATCAATTAATAAAAATAAATTCAAGAATCATCAAGTAAGATCATCTTTTATTCAATAAAATAAATGATAATGATTGCTAGCGAAGTCATCCCAGGCAATGCTAGGGACTTCCCAAGCTAGGACTACAACAACTCCACTAGTTAATGCAGCTAGCTAAGCTAGCGAATGGTGTATATAGAAAAAGTTAGCTGCAATCTTCTTTATACAATATTCTCTACAATGCCATGCCTGAAAATAACTGAAGCCACTCGTTTTTCCATTGTCCAGACTTTATACAGCTGAGCTGCCTATGCGTTTATCTCCCCGGACCGTAATGATCCTCTATGTTTTTCACGCAATCAGAGAATTAGAAAGATGTGAATTAAATTCTGTGATGAACGATGAAGAATAGAGCCTAATCAGCGTTTGTGACCGACCATATGGAGTTGGTAAATAGAGCCGATATTCGGGCGAAGAAATGTGAGACTTTGTCCATTCGGCGGGATGTATTTTAAGTAAGAACAGTAGTAGGTGCTTCTTTCACTTTCAATGGTTTGGCAGGCTTATAATAAGATGGCGCATCCCAGCCAGACAGAACTTTCGTTTTGTGGCTAACTTTGCGGCGATTCTAAAGATGCTCAGCCAGACGAAAAAAAAGCATCTCTAGTTGCAGTTATTCTAAGATTGAAATTCACCTTTGGCCAAACTGTCAGATACGAGGATAGATCCGAGATATTTAAAATCTGATACTTTAATTGTGAACCTCAAAAGTCACTCCAATGTCATTTGCAACGTCAAAGAACAACTATCGAACCTATCTATGCAGATTGTCGAAGAGCGGAATTTAAAAGGATTATCGTTTCATGTTGAGAAATCGTATGATTTCTTTGAAGATTTCTATATTTAAATTCATTTCATTAAGGATGTGAATGCAGTAAATCCATTTCCGATCCCCCTTGCGATAATTGCTACAAAATATGACGAATTTCAGGTTCCTTTTTATTTTTTTTTTTTGAATGGGATTTTAGAAATAAATTTTCGGCCATAACTGAATGATTTACCCGGAAAGAAATTTTTCATTTTTGTTCATTTTAGCTTTTTTCTTAAAATAAATTCTATTACATGAGGCATAGAATTGCTCAGTAGGTTGTTTCCTCAATTTGAGACGCCGATGCTGAGGCTTCCACTCTCCGCAAAAGTAAACCTATCTAAAAATCCGCGTGATACTTGCGATTCATCTGTACTTCTATCGCTAAAGTCTTTTCTGGTATATTTACCTAGTTCGATAAGCCAGCGGAGAGAATCTAACCAATAATAGTGAAAACTCTTAAAAAGAATCATGCATTATAAATTTTTTAAAGTTCCTATTATTGTTTATTATTAAGTCGATTAAGCAGATCATTATTTAGAAGATGGATCCAGAAATTCGCAAAAATGTTTGTAAATTCCTTCGATTTCTTGCTCATATGAATGGCGCATCATTACAAGTAATTTTTTTCTTAATATTTCATTCTATAAAAATTTCGGCAATTTTTTAAATTAAAATTTTGATTAATTTTGCAATAGAAAACCATTTCAATAAAAATTTTCTAAATAATCGATTTTAGATGTTTAGTAATAAAATGGAAAATACAGTATTAAAAGTTAGAGCTCTAATAAGTCACCTGTTGTTTGGTACAACACCAAGTAAAACAATTGTTACTGATTATGATAAGCCAATATCCATACCTACTTCAATGGATAGCCTTGAGGTTCGTTTTCAATATTTTTTATATTTTCTTCTTTCAATTCCTTTGGCTGCTGGCTCAACTAACTATTAATAAAAGTTTAAAGGGATATAAAACAATCACCTAGCTTTCATTTGGTACCTTTTGTTTTCAAGGTGCAGAAATTAAAACCAGATCACTTGTTCTTAGCCAAAGCAAGACAACTCACAACTACCATGATCTCAATCGTCTCATTAATGCAAATCGTCTTAGTGGAATATATTAAATACAACAAGAACCGTAGATTTTCCAAACTTTTTAAAATCATCAAATTCAATCTTGCATTACATCGCGTTACAAAAATTGTGTTTAAACTACATTTAATAAAATTTTAAGGCTATCGACTTTGTATAAACGCATATTAGTTAAATAAAGCAAATTTTTGGACGAAAACACCGTCCCAATCGATTTATTTCCAGAAATTGGCTATGCAAAACGACTGTTCTATAAATTTCGTTATCATTCAAAACAAAGATATCATTAAGAATAATCTTGTATATTATCACCGTGTTTCATAAGAAATATTTTAAGGACATTGGAACTCCATCACTATTGAATAAATCGTCAATAACGATGAAATTTACAAATCTGAATGAAATATGGTCTGAAGCATTTCATGCACAATTTCCAGAAAACCAAACTACTAATATGGTTGCGGTTACGACTTTTCCAAAAACCTTTTTTTTCATAAATTCTATTAGATTTTTTATATTTATAATATGAAATTTCCACAATGTAAATTTTATAGTTACAATCAGTTCTATCAAATATTTAAAAAAAAAAAAATGGATGAAATGAAATAAAAAATAAATAAATAAATTTTAAAAAATAACAAATGTAAACAATTATTAAAGGATGAAAAAAATGAAGATACAATTGGTGATCCAACTAACGAATTGCAGTATAGAGAAGATGAAATCGATCGCATACTCGAAAGAAAAAATCAAGTTTGTTGATTTGACTTATGCAATGCATGAAGCTGAGATTTAATGCTTCAATGATAAGAATATGCTGGGTAGTGGAATGAATTTTAAATTCCATTCATGTTAAATTGCTAAAAAAAAATCTCTAGTAACAAATTAGTATTTTTTTTTCTTTATTTTAACCATATTCCTAGCCTTTTTAAAATTTATTTCAAAAAACAAGAAATTCGACACTATATTGTATTATAGGATCTCGAAGAATATATAAAACGCAAAAAATCTCGATTAAAGTGTAAAGCAGAAACAGAACAATAAGCGTTTGAAAGTGATGACATAACTCTTCTTTAGCGGAAATTCAATCTAAAAGTATAGATCATATTAGCATAACTCAAGTTTTTTTATCTGTGATTTGATTTTATATATGATAGAAATAAATGAAAAAAATCAAACTATGAGCTGTTGTAAAACTGGAGAATAAGTGGAAGTAACGATTTGTATAATCAGCTGAATTGGCAAATATTTTACTGATTTCATTTTCCACGAAAATGATAAGAACCGAAAAGAAATAAAACAATGATGAAGAAACAAAAACTTGTAAATAATGAATATGAATTGATTCACTGGGAAAAGAAAACTATTTTGCAACATGAAATTCGGCCAAGGCTTTCATTGGAGGTAATGGTCGTTTATCAGAAGCGCGTCGAACAATTCCTTGAGCCTTCACCTGAGGTCTAACAAGTGGTTGTTTCTGGGGAGGAGCCATCTTCCATTCCACTAATGATGGTGAAAGAGTATTCTTTCTTCGATACTAAAATAAAGCAAATATGCATGCAAATATATATGGGATAACCGAACTAAAAAAGAGATAAGTTAATCAAGTGGAAAATCTTTGTAAATACAAAATAGTACCTTTGTACTGGCAATGTAAGCAGCTTTCACTGTTAACACAACAGCATTTAAAAGGTTTCTAGCAGTTTGAATCAAAGACATAGCTGATTCCAAACAACTCACGACAAGTTCATTACCGACTTGCTGTACGTCCGCTTTAACCTATAAATCACCAATAAATCAGATTTATATTGTGATAACCACATTTATAGTAAGATTTTAAGACAAATATGAATCCAATCCACAAATTGTACACTAGAAGTTCCTTATTTCCCTCGCACTATGAACTATCGCTTCACTAGCCCGGTGAGGTCTCTTGATCAATCACCCATAAATCTGTGGACCCTCCGACTAATATTTTAAATGCAATAAAATTCATGGTAATTTAATATTAAATATAATCTGATACGAAAATATCAATGACATCTAATTACAAAAATTACAAATTGTGGTTTGCTACTGAAACAAATGCTTAGCAGATTGTAAATCCTTTCTAATCCAAGACTTTGAATCCAACCAAGGATTCTTACGATCCCAAGAATTCCAAAAACCCGAGCTACAGCCAATTAAGTTCGATTTAATTTTTAAACAAATTAAAATCTCACTTTTGGGTACCATCTCAAAATAACAACTGAAGTAAAATATGCTGAAAACACTTCGCACAAATAATTTATAAATTTAATTATAATTTAATAGCAATCATCTAAAGGAATTACTCTGCTTGTAATATTGAGCTGCTGACAGTACAAGGTAATTCGTTGTAAATAAGCAAATAAATCTTTCTTTGTTTCACTTTCAACACTTTCATCACCAATTTGCTTTGCGAGAGAATTCAATTTAGCACCAGCATCTGAGATTTCTTGAGCTGCTTTTATAACATCCATTGTTGTACGTAGTGGACCACGGCCTCTAAAAACCACTAAAATTAACCGATAAGGCGACAATTAAGACCATGCCATATAACAAGATTCTTTATGTTTTAATAGCAACTGTTTCTGGTTCGGCCGATTTTACTCAATAAAATGGAGAATAAAATGTTAGCTCTAGTAAAATTTATTCTCGAAAAGTAACAGGAATCGAATCCATGATGAATGAATGCAGTAGATGAAACTCAACAAGTTTATTCCAACCCATTCTCTCTTCAATAAGATTTCATAAGAAATGAATGGTTTAGATGCGCATCGTAACTGCCTATTTTGCAATCATCCTTGCATATTCAGAAAAAAAGGAAATAAATATATGCAGAAAAAAGACTTTTAGCGATCCAAAAAAAGTTTACACCTTGTAAAATCAGTCATATTCATCATAATCATACACATATGCTTGGCTAGAACAATTATATCGTTACCAGTTTCATCCCATTTAGCCACTTCGCGTTCGAATTTACTTTGCGTTATCTAGAAAAATTATGGATTAATCAATATAAAACAAAAAGATCATACAAATATATAAATTCAGACGAGCAAAATTACTTTAAAAACGTCGATTTGTTCCTGAATTTTTCGCTTTTCTTCCTCAGGCAATCTAAGCATTACTTTCTGCTGATTCTCCGTATCCGATCCACTTTTATTTTCGAAAAACTGATGGTCTGTTAAATCAAACGGTATTTTTCAAGTAAATTTGTTTAATAAGCATTTTACTGAAAAATGCTTTTAATTCTTTATCAACATTTCCTTATATGGGATACTGATTTCCGATTGTAGAAAAACTTTTGTTCCTTAATTTTCTATGAGCAAACCATTCTGTGAGTAAACGAACCATCTTCATATTCATTATCTGAATCAACATCCTCAGGATTTCGATTCATGAGCAAAGCGTTTCGAATTTCTTTTACTGCATTATGAACAAGTTCGCTAGCTTCAATTATTTCATCAACATCAGCATCGATATCCCTATCTCCTTCCTCGTCTTCATCTGTTCGTTCTAATTTGTTTACGATACGTTCTGCCCGTTCGGCAAATTGATTTATGACTAGAAAAATATTTATTTTAATAATTAATTGGACCTTAATTCTTAAAATCACATTCGTGCAAATATTTCAGAAAAAATTTGACAAAATTTGATATTTTATCAATTAATTCTTTGTAAAAATGAACGAACTATCTTCTCGAAGCAGCTTGGTTGCGAAACGAACACGATCTGTATAAGGGTTAGCAGATGCGAGGTCCATTTCGGCTTCTACAACACTACAAACCCGCAACGAGCGGCCTCTAATACCGCCTGCTGATCTATCAAGTAAATATCCATCACCATCTAATACTGCCTAAACAAAAATAAATATTTATTTCTAAAGAAAAATAAAAATTTGAATCGAAACTTAATTTGAATCGAAAAACTAGGTCTAATTATAAAAAATTTATTCTTTTGTAACAGAAACCACTAAATCTAAAAGCTACGTCTGCAGATTTTTCAATCGAAAAGCTCACCTGTATACCAATCTTGACATCTTCTATAATATGAGCTTCACTAACAGCAAGAAAATCATCAACGGTGATAATCGAATCAACTGCTATAGTTAATAAATGAACCTGAAAATTAATCTCTTAAACCCTTAAAGTAAATAGCGACATGAATTTTTGATTTTCTTCATCGTAAGCAAATGATCCATTAAACCTTAGCAAGCCATGCAGATTTAAGTACATCCATATTATCTCTAGCAACCTGACTATCACGAGCACACAACAAATGAGCTGCATTCACAACCTGAAAATTTAAAAAGACAAAAAAATTATAAAAACTGCCTATCGAATTAATCGACATTCTGGCTTCTTCGAAAACAAAATAAAGAAATTGAAAATTTTCCTAACATTAAAAGCAGTCAATTATAAATATATTTTTCAAATTTTTAAAAAACAATCTACTTGTGGTGCAAGTTTTTCAACGAGTATAGCAGCATATCGAACAGCTCTAACACCATCTTCATTATTAGACATTTGACAAACAAGATGTGCAACCTGAAGATGTAAATGCAGCAAAAATATCTTATTTACTGTTTAATTCAAAAGTAGTCAAAATATGTAATTATTCTTTCCAAAATATTTTTCTTTTCTCGTTCTTTGTTCTTACGAGTTTCTTAAATATTGTTTGTAATAAATAATAATAAGGAATCAAAGGACCAACATCAAAGAAAATGACTGAAAATGACTGATTTAATATATAATCTAAAAATAAACAGGAAGTGATACCTCAACTAATTTATTAGCGTGATCTTGGAACATACGGCCATTTTCAGTGGTAGCCAATTCATCGTGTCGTTTAGCACTTTCAATAAGCATCATTAAAGGTGTATTTGTGTCGAGATAAGCGTCGCTTACATGATCGACAATAGCACGACGTAAATGACGCCGAAGATCTTTTGTTTTATGTCCGAGATGCACCATTGCAAGGTCGAGATCTTCTGAAGGTTCCGCTCGACCACACTGAGATTAAAGTAACCTATATATTTCGGTCCGAACATATTCGAAAACCATAATGAATTTACTTCCAAAAAACGCACGAATTACAGGTTATTTCATGAATTTCATTGAACTTCATAGATTTCTGATTATTAAAGATTAAAACCCACATTCTTTTCATACTCATCCAATAATTCTTGTAGTGCTTGACGAAGATTATTACATTCATCAACTATTCTCTTTTTACGATCATCCCGAGTATTTTCTGAGTCAGCAATAGCAGCAGCACCTGTTATAATTCGCTCAAGTTGATTTTCAAGTTCCGAACGATGAACGCCACCTTTATATGCACTTGGTTCCATGTAAACGCGATTCTAAACCTATTTCGTTAATTCACAGTAATCGAAAATTTAAACATGTTGAAATAACAATATATCACCTGAAAGCGATCCAATTCACGGATAAGATCACCAATTCTACCACAGTGTGAGAAGCTTATATCGTTTGACAAAGGGCGCCCTTCTAAGATACTAGAAATAACTTCCAAAGCACCTAACATTTCCATATGAGCAAAATCACGAGTCATCCTAATCTGATCGACTTCAGGATGCCGAACATAAGCCTAGAAAAATAATATTGAAAAATAAATGAAAAATTATCGTTAAAAATAATTCGATATAACTCCAGAATACAGAACTCCAGAATCTAACCGTACTAACCGTGGATGCAGAACTAGAAAAATAATATCGAAAAATAAATGAAAAATCATCGTTAAAAATAATTCGATATAACTCCAGAATACAGAACTCCAGAATCTAACCGTACTAACCGTGGATGCAGAACACATAATATTTGTGCTGATCTTAAGCCAAGCTCTGGCAGCTTGTAAATCATCCTGCTCTGATGGATCACGTAAATCAATCATTCTGCGACGCGTTAGCTCATCTAATTCCTTCAGGTTCGGTTGCAATAATCCATACAATTCACTGAGTTCCTGTTTCGACTCAGCACTGACTATTTTGCTTAAATTAGCTTTGATCTGCTCTATTTTTTTCAACATTAATTGAACATCAATCATATCAGCCATTATAAGCATACGGGCTACAGCTGATAGCAATATGCGCGAAGCACGAATAACTCGTGCACGACGTTGCACACTACTTGTCTCTCGAACAAATTCGCTGCCTGATAGCACCACTTCATTCCCTTAAAAATATTTGAAATTAGTTCATGAAATTAGTCCATGAGTTCATTTTACGTATCTGTCGAGCAGATGAAATCGCACATGATTATATCCATCTTTGCTCAAATACCACCTGTATCACAGTGTCGTCTTCTCTGGTTAGGGCACGTATACCGTCGCCCACCACATATTTCGCTACTTGCTAAACCCTGTGATGATTGGCATAAAAAGCGAGGAGGTCAATCAGATCTGGAATGATACAGTCAGGAAAGACTTTGAACGTATAGGAGACCAGCGATATATGGACTCATTATTTTACTTGTCACTTGTTCCCATGATTCTGACTCCATCTTAGTCGATGGAAAAAGGAATGGCTTCTATTACTATTAGCGATGGTATCGGATTGAACAGCTTGGAAAGTCTTACCCTTGTAGTCAGTGGAGCCAGCCTAACCAGGTGATACCTGTTACAAGCTCATGAATAATTCCAAATAACTTTCTTCCTTTGTCGGTACGATATGCTAAATTAGATAAAGGAAATATATTTGAAAAAAAAATTGCGGTCTCATAATTCACAATATGACCTCCTTAATCGCGAAATGGAACTCTCTGTTATCTTCCAAAACCTGTCATATCTTGCGAAACTTATTTTCCACAACCCATTGATAATCACTTCAAACATCACATTAAATATTTCTTTACTCTACTTTATCCTCAGACCCATTGTAACCACTCAACATTATTCACCTTCCCAATGTCATAGATCAGCAAAGTGTAACAACAGGATAATAACAGGAACACTGAAGAAAAATGAGGAATTGACGGGTAGAAAGGAATAATGGAAATATATATGACGATTGAGGAAAAGGTTTGAAAGGGAATACAAGGAGCATTATGGCAAAAACTCAATGAATTTTAAGGGGGATATCGAGAGGTACACTTGAAAATGATTCTGACTCCATCTTCGACTATGTAGATAGTAAAGCGTTTTAGAAAGCAATGCAATGATAAAGAGAGTAATGACATTCATATGTGAAGGCATTTTACCACCCCTGCATGGGAAGTTGACGTCCTTACGAAATGAGAACTGGTACAATATTCATCTGTGCAAAATGCTTGCTGGCAATAGATATCTTGAATACGTTAATGACATAATTCTTTTCACTGATTTTCTTTGGTAATGAAAAATTGCAATAGGCGCTATACCGCATTTCAGTAATTACGACGAAATTACGACGAAAATTGGACTCTAGATTAAAATAAATAAGAAATAACAAGAAACTCCCTTCGTCTTATAAATCAAATATCCATTTTCATGAGTCAATCTCCGAATTAGGAACAGCCAAACTTTGCATGACTCAGATTTACTCTTATTAAGACTAGTTAAACAAAAGAAAAATTCTAATTCAGTACGCTGAAGCTAAAGATGCTTTTCCTCGTTTTCATAGGCTTAATGGAATCACTGCAAAATATCCCAAAAAATTCTTCTGAACATCTATGAAACAACAAATGAGAACATGAAGCCATCTATCTTCGACTATTCTGTTCGAGGTATATTTTATAAATCAAGTGGAAAGAAGTTTAAACAACTGTATCGACATTCGCACTAATACTTGCCGCATCTTCCCGCATGATTCGCATCATTCATGACAGAATATACTTGCCCTGGTTATGCTCACCCATCACAAAAACTAATGCAAATCTCCTAAATGCTTATGTAGGATGGAGTCAAAAGCAAAAAGCTTCAATCAAGATCTGGACTGTTAAAATCAGCAGATGAAGATGAATAGACTCACTGACTTCGATGATATAAAAAGGAATGCAATTTACTTTCAAATATGGAACCAAGAGGAATCGAAATATCCCATTCTTCTAATGCAGTCAACATAATAGTGCGACTGGTTAAAGAGATGAAAGATTAAGCACTATTCATTTTAATAGAGTAAGACTGGGTTAAGACTTGAGAATAGACATACAAGTGGATCAGCAGTAGCTATCCAGACTGCGTCTTCTCTTAGTGAAAGCAATATAAGATTAAATCACAACCAATCTAAGATTTTGCGAAAAAATCAAATGAAAAAAATTCACCAGTATCTTCAATATTTTGTAGAGCCATATTAATCTCATCAATCGCGCTCACGGAAACCAAAGGACAATCGCGCACAGCTTTACGACCTATAGCCAAAAAATTTTTGATCGTTTCTTCAACAGTAGCTACCAGAACCTGTCCACTTTTGCCGCTACGTTTCATTGAATGAAAATATTCTGGATCGGTAAACGAAGTGACCTAAATCATAAATTAAAATACACTATCATAACACTGTAAAAAAAAAAAAAAAACACTGTAAAAAAAGGAACAATTTCGGTTTGGCTAGCTCCAATGAGAAGTAATGCGAGAATCTCTGCTCAGAGTTCTACAAATTACATAAAATAATGTAGGAAGTTAATGAATCCTGAAAAAAATCAAAATAAATATAACACAGAAAGAAAAAAAAACTGGATCAAAAGACAAAAAAGAACTAAAAAAAAGAACTAAAATCAAAAAGTTTAAGGAACGAAATATAGATCAAACCTGTTGTATTAGTGGCATAATAAGCTCCTCAATTGTTCTTGTCTTCACTTGGTCGATATTAATTTCGGCTTGAACGGTCGCTACAGACACCATTTGGACAAAAAAAAAACACTCGTAATATCCTATATTATTAAAATATATTTTAATCATACAATCATAATCATTAATAATATAAAATTTCCACAAATCTAATGTGCATGATTTGACAAATTCCCATTTTTTCCCCTCTAAAGATGTTAGGGTTATTTGGTGATAGAAGTGCAGATGAGCCACCAATTCTCACAACAAACAAATTCTCCCATGGCGGTTATTTGGTGACAGAAGTACCGGTGAGCCACCAATTCTCACACAGACAAATTCTCGCAAGGGGGTTATTTGGTGACAGAAGTACCGATGAGTCACCAATAATGCGTGGGATAGATTCGGTTTTACGAGAAATATTACTAAATACTATGAAAATAAAAAAACATTTATAAACATTTTCCTCGTTTAAATCAACTTTTAAATAAAAAGCTCAAAACTCGTTGACACATCCGCTGCCCAAGCCTGAAGGTCTATTGACCCTTAGTTGAATTTTGAATACACTAACAGTCGGCTGCAGATTCAAATAAATTCGCATACAAGGCGAGTTACATATCTAAATCTTTATTCCACTGGCTCATAGGTGTCAACGAATTTTGCCAGAATTCATCATTTGGTGATAGAAATAAAAATGAGTTGCCAGTATAATCCGGTTTTTTGGAGCGCAACTGTCAGACATAGAAGCTCAGTGTTGGCGATATTACCGTCCGACGAAGTCATAAATTTTATAGATGGTTCAATGCTAATGGTATTTTCGCTATAAATCAATAGGTAGTTGTACATTGTCGATATCGGTGATAACGGGTGATAACAGATGATATATGATTTTGATTTTGAGTATTGCTATCCTTGAGTTTTTTGAGTATTTTGAATAGTAAGTATTAAGTATTGAAAAAAAAACCATAAAGTGAAGAAAATTTTGCCTTTTAATCGTGCAATGATAGTGCGCTAAATCGTATTCTAGTAAGTTACAATATTTCTTAAAAAGAACTTATAATATTTCTTGAAAATTATTAAACAATAAAACCATTATGCAAGAAAAGGAGTGATTGAAATAAAGTAGAGCAATTAGAGCAATTTATGAATTAACAATTCGCATGATATTTTCGCAAGATATAGCGAGAGTGATAGCTCTGTGATAAAATTTACTGATAACGATAATTAATAGAGCAGCGATAAACTAAAGAAAACAACAAAAAGTATTTTCAAAAAATATTTTAAAAAAACGAATAAATAGCAGTGAAATTTTGCTGCTGCTGTTGCTATTATTGTTATCTTTACTGGTATTTTTGCTGTTTTTGGTACCTTTGTCGGTGTTTTTGCTATTTTTGGTGAATTTGTCGGTGTTTTTGGTGATTTTTTCGGTATTTTTGTTGAATTGTGAAATAATTAAAATCGCAAATTATAGTAATTATAAGATAAGTGAAATGCCTAGAAAGCTAACCGTTTTATAATTGAAGTTCTATTTAGATCATTTCTCAAGGTTTTTTACTTTGTGACAAAATTTTCAATCCGTTTATTGTTTTTTAATTTTTATTTCTTTTTTAAATAATAATTTCGAAAAATAGCGCTTATTTCCTCGTTCAAAATCTTTCGCTTTTTTCTCTCATTAATCGATTTTCTTTCGAATTTTTATTTTTTTAATTTTTTTTACTTTTTAATTTAGAAAAAAAATAAACAATAAAAATATATTTAAAATCACAATTTGTTCTTTTTGCAAATTTTTTTTTTTTGAAAATATTTTTATTGTTTTTCTTGTCTTTATCATTTTATCATCTATTCGTTATCTTGCTTTATTATTGAATTTTATCATAGAAATCATAGAGATTGATTTATTCTCGTCTATATGTAGAAATATTGTAATTTCTCACTTCATTCTTTTTAAATGAATTATAGAAAAATTCGAAATTAGAGCTGCTATTATATTTAGTGGCAAGCAAAGAAAAAATAAACTCTGTTTGGTCGACTCCCCTAATTCCTAAATCCTTAAGCAAGTTTCCTCACTAAGCAGTCACATGGGAATGTAGACATGGCATTTAGGAAATTATGCGTTATCGCGAAAGGCCGAAAATAATAATATAATAATATTAATAATATAATAAAAATAATAAAAATAGTAGCTAGTAAGAGAGATTGTTAGAGAAGTTAGAGTAAAAAAGAGCGTAAAAGCTTAAAAGTGTTAGAGTAACATTTGGCGAAAAATATTAATTAGTCAAAAAAGCTATAGGGTGTTAGAGAATGAAAGAAATAGCGTGGCATAAAATAAATGTTAGAATAACATTAAGCAAAAAATAGTAGCTAATAAGAGAGACTGTTAGAGAAGTTAGAATTAAATATTTAAAATTTTAAAATTTTAATTTTATATTTTATATTTATATTAAAAAAAATAGTCGAAACCAAAAGCGTTGTACAAAGAAGGTATTTGTTAAGGTATTGGCCCGGAGAGTGGGAAAATTGAAACG